AAGTGTGTGTGTATGTATATATATGATTCTCTTTCTCCCTCTCTCCTCTCCCCCTCTCTTCCTTCTCTCTTCCCCCCTCTCTCTCCCCTCACTCTTGAACCCTCTCTCCCCCCTACCTCTCTTCCCTCTCTCTCTCTCTACTCTCTCTCTCTCTCCCCCTCCTTTCCTCTCTTCTTCCCTCTCTCTCTCTTCCCTCTCTTCCTCTCGCTCTCTCTTTTTCCCTCTGTCTCTCTTCCACCTCTCTCTTCCCTCTTTTCTCTCTCCCCTGCCCCCTTTTTCTCTCCCCCTCCCCCCCCCCCCTCTCTATCTTCTCTCTCTCTCCCCTCTCTCTCTTCTCTCTCTTCCTCTCTCTCCCTTTCTCTCTTCCCTCTCTCTCTCTTCCCTCTCACTCTTCCCCCCCTCTCTCTTCCCTCTCTCTCTTCCCCCTCTGCTTCGCTCCCACCCCCCCCCCTCTCTCTCTTCCCCCCTCTCTCTCCCTTCTCTTCCCTCTCCCCCCCCCCTCTCTCTCTCTCTCTCTCTTCGTTCTCTTTCCCTCTCTCTACTACACCCTCTCTATCTCTCTCCCCTCCTCTCCCCTCTCTCTTTCTCTCTTTTCTCTCTCTCTCACTCACTCCCTCTCTCTCTCTTCTCTCTCCTCTCTCTCTATTCCCCCTTCTCTCCTTTCCCTTTTTCTTCTCTCCCTCTCTCTCTCTCTCTCTCTTTCTCTCTCTCTCCTCTCCTCTCTCTCTCTCTCCTGCCCCCCCCCCCTCTCTCTCTCTCTCCCCCCCCTCCCCTCTCTCTCCTCTCTCCCCCATCTCTCTCTCTCTCTCTCTCTCTCCTCTCTCTTCTCCTCCTCTCCCCCCTTCTCCTCCTCCCTTCCTCTCTCTCTCTCTCCTCTCCTCTTCTCTCTCTCTCTCTCTCTCTCTCTTCTCTCTCTCTCTCCTGTCCCCCCCTCCCTCTCTCTTCTCTCTCCCCCCCTCTTCTCTCTCCCCCCCCTCTCTCCCCCCATTTCTCTCTCTCTCCTCTCTCTCTCCCTCTCTCTTCTCTCTCTCTCTACTCTCTCTCTCTCTCTCTCTCTATCTCCTGTCCCCCCTCCCTCTCTCTCTCTCTCTCTCCCCCCTCTCTTCTATCTCTCTCACTTGATTTTGTTTCTCTTGCAGGCTCCCTTTACCCTCCAGCCAAACCTTCAGTAACCATTTTCAAAATCACCTTCTGGCTGGGATACTTCAACAGCTGCATCAATCCCGTGATCTACCCGTGTTCCAGCCGAGAGTTCCGGAAGGCCTTCCAGAACATTCTGCACGCCCGCTGCTCAAATCGGAGGCAGGCCTCCAGCAAGTACTCCTCGGGGTTCATCCTGAGCAGTCCGGTGCACCGCAGTCCGGACGAGCACCGAGACGTGGTGAGGATCCCAGTGGGTTCGGAGAGACGTTCTACAAGATCACCAAGTCTGACGGAGTCTGCGAATGGAAGTACTTTTCCCGGTCCCCAGCCCGTCCTCACCCTACGGAGCGCCGAAGGACTTCACAAACTGTTCGACGGCCAGGGTGAGCAGCAAGTCGATTTTGCGGACCTGCTGTTGCGTTGGCACGGAGCCGGCGCGTACTCACCACAACATCCCCACCATTAAAATACATACGATCTCCGTGAGTGAGAATGGGGAGCCGGTCTGAGGTTGGGTGGGCAGGGCGTAGACATCGAGTCTAGTATGGTGCATGCCGAGCGGAAGTCACATGACCGTACTTCACCGACCTGTCCGGGCAAGCTCCCACCAGCACCCTTTTTACATTCCATTTTGATCTGAGCCTCATTTTTATCGCTTGTTGCTGACGAATCGAGAACGCGTGGAACCTCAACCGATGACTTCTGCTGCTATAACGGCACCTTGGAGACGGATGCATGAACCGAAACGTTAAAAAGCCTCCGCGGTGCTCTGTAAATGCAAAATAAAATGTAATGGAAGTCGGAGAACGAAATGCCAAATACAGCCGACTCTATTGATGCGCCGTGGTTGTGTGTGCGCGGTTCATGCAGAGTTCATGTGCCGCGCAAACAGGTGGAAAACGACCAAAAATGGTTCCGGGTTATTGATCGCCCATCTGCAGTTGGCTCGTGATAGCGACATCATTACACGGGAACAGATACTAGAAGGTTCCGCGTGACCCGCCACGCAGTGTGCCGGCGAGATCATACAACCGGTTAGAGATTTAAAAAAAAAAAGAAATTTTTCAAATTTAAAAAAAAAAAGGAAAATAAAGATCTTAAAAGATATTTGAACCCGAGATCGAACTTTTTATATAATTCACCCGACAAGTCCTTGGATCCTGCCAGGTGCAATGCAGAAATGCGCATGTTCCCACAACGCTCAAACAAAAAAAAAATAAAGCAGTCGATTTGCAGGCGCATGGCGGTGCCAATAATTCCAAGTAAATGAGGGGAGCTTCACTTTGCAAAGGATACCCAATCACATGCAAGGAAAATTGAAAAAAAAAAAAATAGATCTTTGCAGATGATTGGATGATGGAAGCCAGCAGAGCTTCCTGTCATTTGCTAAGCTTCGGGGAACATGCAAAGTGCTCGGGCTATTTGCCTTTACTAAATTAATTCCTAATGGCACCCCAACGCACCAAAGTACATGCGTTCTGGTGCGGCACAATTTAGGAAAAACGGCCATGCACTCATTTTGTGTGATTTTTGGACACAAGAGATGAATGGGTTGCCCTACACGCCAAATACACATGCGCACCGTTGCACATGCAGACTATGGGGTGGATGTACTAAAGGCAAATAGACCGTACACTTCGCAAGGGCAGTTGCACTCTGCAAGGGTAGTAGCTCCAGAGCTTAGTAAGTGAGGGGAAGCTTCACTTTGCAAAGGATACCCAATCACATGCAGGGAAAATTGAAAAGAAAAATAGATTTTTGCAGATGATTGGATAATGGAAGCCAGCGGAGCTTCCTGTCATTTGCTAAGCTCCGGTGCACATGCAAAGTACTCGGGCTATTTGCCTTTAATAAAATCTACCCCCTTAGTTTCCTTTGCTAAAGACTATGGGGTGGAGTTACTAAAGGCAAATAGATTGTGTACTTTGCAAAGTGGAGTTTTTCCAGAGCTTAGTAAATGAGGTGAAGCTTCACTTTGCAAAGGATACCCAATCACATGCGAGGAAAACTGAAAAAAAAAAAAAAGATTTTTGCAGATGATTGGATGATGGAAGCCAGCAGAGCTTCCTGTCATTTGCTAAGCTCCGGTGCACATGCCAAGTGCTCGGGTTATTTGCCTTTAGCAAAGGAAACTATGGGGCAAATAACCCGAGCACTTTGCATGTGCACCGGAGCTTAGCAAATGACAGGAAGCTCTGCTGGCTTCCATCATCCAATTATCTGCAAAAATCTCTTTTTTTTTTCAATTTCCCCTGCATGTGATTGGGTATCCTTTGCAAAGTGAAGCTTCCGCTCATTCACTAAGCTCTGGAGAAACTGCACTTTGCAAAGTACACCGTCTATTTGCCTTTAGTAAGTCTACCCCTTAGTCTTTAGCAAAGGAAACTATGGGGGTAGATTTTATTAAAGGCAATTAGCCCGAGTACTTTGCATGTGCACCGGAGCTTAGCAAATGACAGGAAGCTCTACTGGCTTCCATCATCCAATCATCTGCAAAAATCTTTTTTTTTTTTAATTTTCCCTGCATGTGATTGGGTATTCTTTGCAAAGTGAAGCTTCCCCTCATTCACTAAGCTCTGGAGAAACTGCAGTTTGCAAAGTACACCGTCTATTTGCCTTTAGTAACTCCACCCCATAGTCTTTAATAAAATCTACCCCCTTAGTTTCCTTTGCTAAAGACAATGGGGTGGAGTTACTAAAGGCAAATAGACCGTGTGTACTTTGCAAAGTGGAGTTTTTCCAGTGCTTAGTAAATGAGGGGAAGCTTCACTTTGCAAAGGATACCTAATCACATGCAGGGAAAATAAAAAAAAAATGAGATTGTTGCAGATGATTGGATGATGGAAGCCAGCGGAGCTTCCTGTCATTTGCTAAGCTCCGGTGCACATGCAAAGTGCTCGGGTTATTTGCCTTTAGCAAAGGAAAACTATGGTGGTTGATTTTATTTTCTGTTAATCAGCACAAGGGATGGAACTTCAGTGAGGGGGGGCCCCTTGTGCCGATGGCTGCTCTCTTAGAATAAAGTGATCCTAAAGGTTCATTTTTATTTTTTTTTAAATAACAAACATGTCTATACTTACCTGCTGTGTGCAGAGAGAAGCCCCGATCATCCTCTTCTCAGGTCCTCCACCAGCGCTCCTGGCTCCTCCTTCCTGTCGGGTGCCCCCATAGCGAGCTTCTTGCTATGGGGGCACCCAACAGGAAGGAGGAGCCACCCATGCAGGCGCACTCCTGGGCTGCTGCTCTGTGTGTTCATTCACACATGGAGCCGCGGATTGGCCCCGCCCTCCATCTCATTGGCTCGCGGCTGTGATCGGTAGCCAATGAGGTGGCAGAGACCTGGGACGGCCGAGGAGGTTCTTGTGCACATTGCTGGATCGCGATGGGGCTCAGGTAAGTATTGTGGGGAGGGGGGCTGGGGGGATGTGGGGGGGATGCAGCACACAGAAGGTTTTTTACCTTCATGCATAGAATGCACGCAGATCCAAAAACCTTGAGCGGTAATCTTCGGGGGGTTAATGTGCCGTTCCTGCCCCCCTCCTCTATTCACAGGAACTGTACTGTAGCTTCCTTCAATGAAAATGCTCTATGAATGAAGGAGGCGGACCTTCCCACACGGAAGGAAAATATATTTTAAAAATATTCTTCCCAAATATATCGCCATGTATTTTATATGCCACGATTTTGGCCGTATTCGGTATTCAAAATATATTTCAATAAATACAGTCGGGATGTACCGGGTGATTGGAAAGTAACTCCTTATTTTAAACTATTTATACAATTTTTATATGAAGTTACTTTTTTCTCAGTTCTTTAATGTATTTTCCTTAATCTATGACAATTAAATCTGCGACATCATGAATGCCGAAAGGTATCTCGCTATCCTGCAAGATGAAATCTGGCCAGTTGTCAATACCTGGGAGAACATTGAAGACTTGATTTTTCTGCAAGATGGTGTCCTCCACATGTGGGCTATTATTATTATTATTATTATACAGTATTTATATGGCGCTAAAAGGTTTGCTCAGCGCTGTGCATTATAGTGGGGGACAGAAAATGAGACAAGACAGTAACAAAACAAAACACGAGGGGGTCAAGGGCCCTGCTCTTTCGAGCTTACAATCTAGGAGGGAGGGGATAGAGGTACAGGAGGAAGTGGCTGTGGGGGATGGAGTGGTAGGAGATCAGCTGTTAGGTGAGGGTGGTGTAGGCTTTCCTGAAGAGGTGGGTTTTCAGGGGTGCGCCTAAAGGTGAGGAGGGAAGGTGACAGTCTGATGGATTGGGGTAGTGAGTTCCAGATGATGGGGGAAGTCCTGGAGAAGTCCTGCAGTCGGGTGTGGGAGGTGGAGACCAGGGAGCTAGAAAGTAGGAGGTCTTGTGAGGAGGAAAGATTACGGGTAGGGAGGTATTTGGGTATCAGGTCTGTGAGGTAGTTTGGGGCAGCATTATTGATCGTGAATGGCTGAAGGAACATTTTCCCGGGAGATGGTTGGGTCGACGTGGTCCGCATGAGTGGCCGGCCACAAGTCCTGATTTAACACCCTGTGACTTTTTTCTTTGGGGTTTGTTGAAGGAACAAGTTTACTCTACGAAACCAAAGACTTTAGAAGAACTTGAAGGGCGACTACGAGAAGTTATTTGTGCCACAAGAGTTCCTGCGAAGATCAGTTGATGCGATTCCCAAGCGGCTTCAGAAGCTCGAATACTAAATAAAACTCCATATTATGTGTGTTCTTCTCATATTCATTTTTTGTAAAAATAATGATTAAAAAGTAAATATAAGATTTTTAAAATAAGGTTACTTTTCAATCACCCTGTGTGTATATATATATATATATATATATATACAGGGGAAACTCAAAAAATTAGAATCTGGTGCATTCATTCATTTATTTCAGTGCAGCAACTTAAAAGGTGAAACTAATATATGAGACTCATTACATGCAAAGCAAGATAGTTCCAGCCGTGATTTGTCATCATTGTGATGATTATGGCTTACAGCTCAAGAAAACCCCAAATCCACAATCTCAGAAAATGAGAATATTGTGAAAAGGTGGAATAATCTCGGCTCAAAGTGTCCCACTCTAATCAGCTCATTCAGCCATAACACCTGCAAAGGGTTCCTGATCCTTTAAATGGTCTCTCAGTCTGGTTCAGTAGGAATCACAATCATGGGAAAGACTGCTGACCTGACACCATCACTGACACCCTCCATAAGGAGGGAAAGCCTCAAAAGGGAATTGCAGAAGAAGTTGGATGTTCCCAAAGTGCTGTATCAAAGCACATTAATAGAAAGTTATGTGGAAGGGAAAAGAGTGGAAGAAAAAGGTGCACAAGCAGCAGGGATGACCGCAGCCTGGAGAGAATTGTCAGGAAAAGGCCATTCAAAAGTGTTGGGGACTTTCACAAGGAGTGGACTGAGGCTGGAGTCAGTGCATCAAGAGCCACCACACACAGATGGATCCTGGACATGGGCTTCAAATGTCGTATTCCTCTTGTCAAGCCGCTCCTGAACAACAAACAACGTCAGAAGCGTCTTACCTGGGCTAAGAAAAACAGACCTGGTCTGGTGCTCAGTGGTCCAAAGTCCTCTTTTCTGATGAGACAACTTTTGCATCTCATTTGGAAACCAAGGACCCCGAGTATGGAGGAAGAATGGAGAGGCACAAGGACCCCGAGTATGGAGGAAGAATGGAGAGGACCAAGGACCCCGAGTATGGAGGAAGAATGGAGAGGCCCAAGGACCCCAAGTTTGGAGGAAGAATGGAGAGGCCCAAGGACCCCGAGTATGGAGGAAGAATGGAGAGGCACAAGGACCCCGAGTATGGAGGAAGAATGGAGAGGCCCAAGGACCCCGAGTATGGAGGAAGAATGGAGAGGCCCAAGGACCCCGAGTATGGAGGAAGAATGGAGAGGCACAAGGACCCCGAGTATGGAAGAAGAATGGAGAGGCACAAGGACCCCGAGTATGGAGGAAGAATGGAGAGGCACAAGGACCCCGAGTATGGAGGAAGAATGGAGAGGCCCAAGGACCCCGAGTATGGAGGAAGAATGGAGAGGCCCAAGGACCCCGAGTATGGAGGAAGAATGGAGAGGCCCAAGGACCCCGAGTATGGAGGAAGAATGGAGAGGCCCAAGGACCCCGAGTATGGAGGAAAAATGGAGAGGCCCAAGGACCCCGAGTATGGAGGAAGAATGGAGAGGCACACACTGAAAGATGCTTGAAGTCCAGTGTGAAGTTTCCACAGTCTGTGTTGATTTGGGGAGCCATGTCATCTGCTGGTGTTGGCCCACTGTGCTTCATTAAGTCCAGGGTCAACGCAGCCGTCTACCAGGAGATTTTGGAGCACTTCATGCTTCCTTCCACAGACCAGCTTTATGGGGATGCTGACTTCATTTTCCAGCAGGACTTGGCTCCGCCCCACACTGCCAAAAGCACTAAAACCTGGTTCAATGACCGTGGGATTACTGTGCTTGATTGGCCAGCAAACTCACCTGACCTGAACCCCATAGAGAATCTATGGGGCATTGCCAAGAGAAAGATGAGAGACATGAGACCGAACAATGCAGAAGAGCTGAAGGCCGCTATTGAAGCATCCTGGTCTTCCATAACACCTCAGCAGTGCCACAGGCTGATAGCTTCCATGCCACGCCGCATTGAGGCAGTAATTGCTGCAAAAGGGGCCCAACCAAGTACTGAGTACATATGCAGCTTCTACTTTTCAGAGGTCCGATATTGTTCTATGTACAATCCGTGTTTTATTGATTGCATGGAATATTCTCATTTTCTGAGATTGTGGATTTGGGGTTTTCATGAGCTGTAAGCCATAATCATCACAATGATGACAAATCACGGCTTGAACTATCTTGCTTTGCATGGAATGAGTCTCATATATTAGTTTCACCTTTTAAGTTGCTGCACTGAAATCAATCAACTTTTGCACCATATTCTCATTTTTCGAGTTTCACCTGTATATATATATATATACATACACACACACATATATATATATATATATTCAATAGAATTGGCCGGTACTATACATTTCACAAGTTATTCTTTCCCATTCCAATAATTCAATGAACTTCATCTCAAGGCGCCCCCAAAGAGAGGATGTTCTATAAATACACCCCATAATGAGGGGGAGTCTCCGCACCAAGGACACAAAACCCAAGGGGGGGGGACTAACCCCAACACTGTATCCAAAATTAATTTGCATTTGGATATATTGTAACCCTTCGTAACATTCCAGTAACACCCCCCATCACTGTAGAGACAGATTTTGGGGGCAAAAAAACATTATTGTTTCTTATTTGTTACAAAATTTATGTATAAATGAGACAAAAAAAAGTGAAGTTCCCATTCACAGAAAGGCTAAAATATTTGACCTCTTAACAATATTTCAGTATTTTTTTTTTAGTCCCAGATCATTAGTGTAGAAATTAATTTTGGGAAAATCCAGATACTGTCTCTCATTTGCAAAATTTATGTATAAAATTAGCCTGCACTCCAAAAAAGGCTATAAAAGCCTAAAGGTGGTAAAATATTTATACTGATCCTTTGTCATTATTATTTTTTTATACACATTTTATTAGTCCCAGACCATCATTGTAAAGGTTAATTTTGGAAAAAAAAACAATATTGTTTCTCATTTGCAAAATTGATGTACAAAATGAGAGTGAAGGTTCACGTTCATGGAAAGGCTACACAAGCCAAGCCTAGGGTGGTAAAACATTTTGTACAAATTCTTTTTCATTATTATTACATTTTTTTGGAAATTTAGAAGTTTTGATTTGTCCCAGACATCACTGTAGAGACTGATTTTGGGGGGAAAAAAAACAAACATTCTTTCTTACTTGTTACAAAATGTGTGTGTAAAATGAGAAAAAAAAGTGATGTTCCCAATTCACAGAAAGGCTAAAATATTTTATCTCTGTCAACAATATTTCATTTTTTTTAATCCCAAACCATTAATGTAGAGATTAATTTTGGAAAAATCCAGATACTGTCTCTCATTTGCAAAATTTATGTATAAAATTAGTCCGCACTCCTAAAAAGGCTATAAAAGCCTAAAGGTGGTAAAATATTTATACTGATCCTTTGTCATTATTATTTTTTTATACACATTCTATTAGTCCCAGACCATCATTGTAAAGATTCATTATGTAAAAAAAAAAAACAATATTGTTTCTCATTTGCAAAATTTATGTACAAAATGAGACTGAAGGTTCACGTTCATGGAAACTACACAAGAAACATTTTATACCAATTATTTGTCAATATTATTTCTTTTTTTTTTAAATCTAAAAGTTTTAATTTGGCCCAGACCATCACTGTAGAGACTGATTTTGGGGGGAAAAAAACATTATTGCTTTTTATTTGTTACAAAATTTATGTGTAAAATGAGCCTAAAAAAACCCGACGTTTACATTCACAGAAAGACTAAAATATTTTACCTTTGTCAACCATACTTTACTTTTTTTTCTTTTTTTTTTTTTAGTCCCAGACCATTAGTGTAGAGATAAATTTTGGAAAAATCCATGCAATGTGCAAAATTTATGTAAATGAGATTAAAGAAATCAAGTCCACATTCATGGAGAGGCTAGTAAAACATTTATACCAATCCTGTTATTATTATTATTATTTTTTTTTTTTCACAGAATATTTTTTCAAACGAAAACACGAGATGACTTCATAAGCCTGTATCTGCTCTTTCACTGTCCAATCACAGAACGAGGGATACTGTCCAATCACAGGATGGGGGATACTGTCCAATCACAGGATGGGGGATACTGTCCAATCACAGAATGGGGGATACTGTCCAATCACAGGACGGGGGATACTGCCAATCACAGAATGAGGGATACTGTCCAATCATAGGATGGGATATACTGTCCAATCGCAGGATGGGGATACTGTCCAATCGCAGGACGAGGGATACTGTCCAATCACAGAATGAGGGATACTGTCCAATCAAAGGATGGGATATACTGTCCAATCACAGGATGGGATATACTGTCCAATCACAGAACGGGGGATACTGTCCAATCGCAGGACGGGGGATACTGTCCAATTACAGGACGGGGGATACTGTCCAATTGCAGGACGGGGGATACTGTCCAATTACAGGACGGGGGATACTGTGTAAATCTCAGGATTGGTGGACAGAATTACAGATCCTTTGACAGGTAAAGCGGCTCCCGTATATTTGGTGTGTTGTGGGGTCGGGAGTCGATCGCTCAGAGTTTGGCTTTCATTGATACATTTATAAAGACAAAAGTGCCTAAAAGTATAAAATGAACACTTGTGGGAGATTTCAGCTTCAGATGTTATGATTACAGTACATGGAAATAAATGAAGGCAACAAAATGTTACAAAACTTTGAATAGTTTTCTTGAAGACATTAAAATCCTTCCTATCTGCACCTTTTTCACCTGCATTAGATGTCCATGGATCATGTATTCTCCTGGTGTCATTGATAAGATGAACACCGATCATTCAGTCCTGTGGTGTCATTCATAAGATGTACATTGGTCATGTATTCTCATGGTGTCATTCATAAGATGAACATCGATCAGTCATCCTGTGGTGTCATTCACGAGATGTACATTGATCATTTAGTCATGTGGTGTCATTCATAAGATGTACATTGCTCTTGTAGTCTCATGGTGTCATTCATAAAATGTACATCAATCATTTAGTTTCA